AAGTGCACCGTCCTGAGTCTATTCATGCCGATTTAATTGGACAGCCGCGTTTTCGGAGAGACGAGAGGAAGCAAGCTTGAAGCAAAGGGGAAAGGTAGGGAGAAAAGAAAGAGGAGGCCGGTTGAGAGGGCAGCATGGAAGCAGAGATGATGGAGGAACAGAAGAGAAGGTCGATGATCTGGCTGTTGCTCATTTGGTAATTAACTTGAAACCAGTATATACTTAAATGGCATTTTTAAGTTCTGGTATTCTTGGGAAATGGTGCTGTTGTCATATAAATCTTCCATTTAGTATTAATTCAGTAGCAAAACAAAACTTTATGAATACTTTCACTGCTAGCTTCATTCATATACTACAAGTATTGAAAAATTACTAAAGCTAATTAATTTTTTTTTTATTTTACTTTTTCTGGGAGGCTGCATTTGAAGATGTTTATCATTCTTTTCCATTTTCTTTGTTTTTCTCATTTTTTTCTAATACTATTACAACTTCTTATGGAAAAATGTTTTTGTTAACCTGTTCTTCTATTTTGGGGGCCAATTTGCACAATTTGCCCTCTTGGTCTAGGAGAATGTCTAATCAGTGCCATAATCAGAATGAGAGATATTATAGTATATATTAGAATTCAAGTGCCAATGAAAACTTTGTCCTTTGTGTTGTAGAAGGGCGCATTTAATGCAATGCATTTTCTTCTGCTTACATTAAGTATATTTGCTCTTGTTTGTATAGACTCGGAGGTAAACTAGAATTTTGATTATCTAGACTTTGCACTTTTGATGAGGATTTATCACGGCGAAGTGACTAATCTGTTTTGATTGTATGCTTAATGAAATTTATCTTTTGATTGTAATTTAGCTAATTGGCTTGTCTGATCTAGAATAAATGTTCTATATACTGACTAAAAATATGAATTTTGGATCATACGTCAAGTAGAATACCAGAGAAGCTTGCAAGTTCAACTGTTGCTGCTACAAAATGATCTCGCCTCCTTAGTTGGCACTAGACGGCTTAAGGATCAGTTCAAGTCCATACCTCGTGTAGATTTTCCCCTTCCAGATGTCTCCTACCATCATTAACTGATTATGTTGAGCCTGATATTTAACCATTAGTGTTGTTAAAGGCAAAAAGCGAGACGAAGTGATGGCCTAAAAATGCTAAAGCGATGAAGCGAGAAGCCAAGTGATCGTTTCTTTGAAGTGAAGTGAGTAACACTTTGAAGTGAAGCAAGTAACACTTTGAAGTGATGAATTATTAAACATAATAGAATTAATTAGAATAGAAACTCAAGAGAATTAAGAGTGGAAAAGTAGAATAGGGTGCAAGTAACAGGTTTAAATTAAATTCTACTTCACTTAGTGCAAGTAGAACTAAATTTTGTTTTGAAATTAAAATTTAGGAGTTTTATGAAGTGAAAAATTAACTATTTCAATCTATACCATATAAATGATATTAAGTTTATTAATCAAGGTCCCTTGGACTAGATAGATCTGAACACTATAAGTTTACCAACAAGAAATATAATTGAAAGATAAAGGAGGGATAAAGAGGAAATCCATAGAATTAAGACAATACTAGAGAATTCTGTTAATATTTACATAAAACTTTATCTTAACTAAATTAAGATAATCTGCTGATAGAAAAAAAAAAAAAAAAGAGAAGATATCAAAAAGTTAGGGAGGAGGGTGAAGTCAAGGAAGAAGAAGTGATGGGAATGAGAACATGCAAAATTTTTTTAAAAAAAAAGAAAAAAGAAACAAGAAAGGACTTTCCTGTAAATGGTTGATGAATTGATGAGGTCAAGACTCAAAAAGACGATGAAGTCAAAAGACAATGGAATCACAAAGAAAATTAGGGGAAGAGGTAGTCCGTAGGCACTGAGCTTATTGTTTTTGCCCTAATTGGAGTCAAAATTTCAATTTAAACCTTTAATGCTTTTATATTTTTTTATCATTTTGTATCATTTTAAAGAAGCGATCGCTTCAATATTAGAGTGCTTTTATTGCTTGACTTCATTTCAATCACTTTGGGATCGCTTCTTTTAAGTAGAGTGCTTCAGAAATTTTGAAGCAATGGTGCCTTTGATCGCTTCTCTTCATCACTTTAAGCGGTGAAATGACCACTTTTGACAACACTAATAAATATAAGATTCCTCTTTTACCAAATGGTATCAAAACTAGCTCAAAAAAATCAGTGGTACATATTGATATGCCTTTCTTTAAAGAATTATTTTTCTATTTGTGGTTTCTTCTTTATGAAGGAATTAATTTTCTATTTTATTTAGGAGGATACTGTTTGATATATTCTGCCGACCCAAATCTTGCAGTTTCCTTAGGGTTATACTTGATAATGGTTCAATTATGAGTCACCAAACTCTTTTGGGACCATTGTTCTGCTTGAGCATAGGGCTTTCAAGAGCACAACAAATCGTCGCTATTTGTGGGTTGTGATAGAATTGGAGGAAATTGGTGGCCATGTGCAAGCCTCAGCTCCTAGGGAGCAAATCGGTAACACCTTTGATGCTCTGAAGACTTGTGTTCCTGAAATGGTAAAACTACTTATTAATTGTATGAGGAAACCTGCCTTCTTGGATTGGGAGGTCAATGAACAGGTGAAGAAGATGTGTATAACCTTTGTGTGCCTATGCTAATTAGTTGTTTGAAATTTTGGATTAAATGCCCTTGTAAATATCACATTTTATGTGTTTATCTTTTGTAGTTTTAGAAGGTGAATGCAGAAATAGTTAAAGCTTCTAACAACCTGCAAAGCTTGCTTTTGGAGGCAATTCACTCTACTAGCTAAGTGGCTATTTTGTTGCCTTTGCAAATCCTCTTCTAGCTCCAGAATCTATTATAAGTAGATTGAATAGTTCAATTGTAGCAAAATTTGTTGCTGTGAGTCAGAAGGCTTGATATTTCAATATGCTCTATATTCCAATGCCAATCATATCCCTTTTTTAAAATATTTGCCTAGATTTATGTACCTTTACTCGATTTCCCATCAAACTTTTAGCCTTAATTTGGATTGGGAAAGTTGGAGGGGAAAGGAAGGAGAAGAAGAAGGGAGAGATGCCTTCTTATAATATTTGGATTACTGATTTTAATGGAGGAAAAGGAAGATGGAATGAGATGTAAATCCCTCCACTCTTCTATTTTCAATTCCTTCAAATCGGAGAGATTTGGAAGGATTGGTTTTATACATTTATTTTTATAAATTTTAAAAAAAATAAATTTATAAATATATTTTATATCAATTTTTTTAATTAATGAATTTAAAATTTTTTATTTTACTTTATTTTATTTTTTAAAAAAATTATTTAATTAAACAAAAATATTATCCTTCCCTCTTTTCTACTTTTATTTATCCAAACAAAGTTAACATCAATCATGTCCTTTGCTCACTTTTCCTTCCTTTCCTTTCCCTCCCTTCCCTTCACTTTACTAATTTTTATTGAAATAAAGGCTTAGGAACATTGCACTGCTTCTTGCATGGTACTTCTAGCATCCGGAGTTAAGTGTGGGAAACTAATTTATTAGTTGATTTTACCCCTCCAACTACCTCCTCCAATAAACTTATCCAAACAAAAAAGAACAAAGACCTCTCCCCCACTCTCCTTCCCTTCCCTTCCCTTCCCTTCCCTTCGACTCTATTAATCCAAACATAGTGTAAAACAACCCGATCAAAATGACAATGAAATTATGAATCCCAGATATCTTTTATAGGTTTCATAAAGATAGAATGAACAATGGGTTTTAAGGGGAAGAAATGAGGAAAAGTTGCAGAATAGTGAAGGTTTGGGGTTGATTCTTGTATCAATTGTAGAATAGTGGAGGTTTTTCATAGATTTTTGACTTGGATGATAAGGGCAGAAGTAAGGATATCAATGGGGTCTCGCGGGGCTGGGAGTCCCTCCCTGTCCTCATCCCCATGAAGGTAGGGATGGGGATCCCTGCGGGGATTTTTGATGGGGTAGACTTTGCCTCCTATCCCCGTTCCTTGCTAATTAATATCAAAATATACATTTTTTACATAAAATTAATTAATATTCAATTATAATAAAAATATTCTAAAAATTCAATTATAATTAATTAAAATTCTTTTAATATAAAATCAAATGTAAATTGTCCAAACATAAATAAAAATCATTCGACATAAATAGTTAAATCAATAAACTTGTTCCAAATATAAATAAATATTAATCCAACATTAATAACTAAAGCAACATACTTGTTCCAAACATAAGTAAAAATCAATCCAATATAAATAAAATAACTAAATCAACATCCAGCATGAAAGGAGACAGCCATCTCAAAACACTTTACCTATCAAAATCCACATCTGCTCATAAAAAAACTATAATACAATTAGTAAATACTTCATGTTAATATATTTATAGAAAAACTATTTATATTATTAGTATAAAAAAATATCATGTATATTTTATCTCTAAATTATTTTCTTCGTGACAATCCACAT